GTGGCACTTTTGGGTTCAAATCAGACAGTTTCATCTAGCTACTCAGCAAGGAGAGCCATTAGGTTTTAATGATATTTGCAGATAATTCCTAGGATTCGGTCAATTAATTTGCATGAAACACAAATTTCATTTATCCCAGTGAATCATGCAAAGGACAGACATGGGGGGTAAATCACATCCAGTCCAGCAATCTAGTCCGAGCATCAGCTTCCAGGCTGCTATTTATCATTTTATCTCCACAATTAATACTGCTCTTAATAAAGTCTCCACATGGCACTCTGTCTGCACCATTCTGCATTTATTCTAAACAACATCACAGCCTGTTGAAGAGTTACCTTACAGCAAAATGAAGCTGCACAGTAAAGTATATATAGCACATTGTTCACTGATCTAAACTAACAGACAATAGCTAATGCGTGGCCAAATGATTATAAGCACAGCACACTGTATGAGAGTATTTCTATGGTCAGCGCAGGATGATGCGTTTGGAGCTATTAAGGCAGACATAAGGGTATAGGGGATTTAGCTGGATTGAGGACACCAAGTTGACTCCCTGAATCCACCAACTCGTCATCATTTTCTCCTCTCTTCCGTTCTCTTGTCCTTCCTAAGACTAGACTAGCTGAAATGCACTCCCAGAGGATGAAATACACGGTCCTTTCTCTTTCATCTTTCCTCCATTTTTTCCCGTTATCATTCCTCTCATACCTTGTACAGCTGACCCACAGACAGGAGACACAGTAGATATAAACTTGTATATGCGTGTGCGTGTGTGTGTGACTGAGCGCTTTGATTAAAGCCAGTCTGTGGATTAATTAGGGTAAATAACCTCAGAGCTGCTTTTCGGATTTAAGTGTTAAAATCTAATGCGTGCTTCATACTAGAAATGTGTCTGTCAACCATGAATGTTTTTGTCATTGCTCTCCTGTAGGGTCCATCTATTAAAAATACTGTATATGGAAACTATTTAGTCATAACTAGTCATGGTGACACCATCTCAGGAAAGGACTAGCTGAATCAGAGTCAGCTTCCAGAGGTCACGCATGCACTTTTACAAGGACAGCACCAAGCATGTTTGTCAATTGATTAGCTTTCTACTGTAGTCTAGTGACTGTTTGCAAGCATCAACTGTAGATATTAAGTCTGCATTCTGACCCAGTGTGGATATGGGGCATGTTCCTACCTGCATCTTCCCTTGGGAATCACTCAAGATCTTTGAGTGCATCCCAAGGATTGCTCTGAGTGTGGGATGTCCTGCCACCACCCAAAAAAAGAATCTGTAGTCCTGAAAGCTGCAAACAGCTGCTTTGGTATTTGATTTGTTTTTTTTAAGTAAAAAATAGAGCTAAGCAGAAAATAACTGCAGAAATTATATCAAGAACGTATTTAGCAAATGTGTTGACAGTTATAATACTGATCTATTAATTGGAAAAACAGATGTCTAAAGTATAAAACTGCACTGACCTTTTTCGTGTTATTGTTAGGTGGTTGCTAGGCAACATAAAAGCATCACAAAACATCATGAAAAAGTTTTGTGACTTTAACTGAGAAGTTACTGTTGTGATATTAAAATAGCACTCCTTTTACAAGGTGTTACAGGTGTGCATAAACTCACTGACTAGGCAACACGATGATCTCATAACACCTGATGTAAGAACCATCAGGGGCCTGTACGAGTACACCACAACTTGTGATCATCTAGGAGGAGTTTCCAGGAAAACAAACAGAGTGAGACTTTGTGTATTATAGTACAATGGTTGGCGTGTTCGAGTTGGGCATCGTAAACAACCCTTTGGCGGTCACCACAATTAGCACAAAAGCCCAGTGCGATGGTCCTCCCTGCACCCACTTGACATGCTGACATCAGAATTAACTCTTGTCTCACAAATACACACGATTAGGGAGAAATATTATTAATCTTAGATAAAGAATCAAATAAAAAGGAAAAACTAGCATGTGAAAATCAGTCAATGGTTCATAGCTACAACCGAAGAAAAGATGTCAGATTTAAGCAACAACAGAAAAGCACATTTGCCTTGAAATACAGTCTAACTGAGGGTCTGTTCTGCTATATCATTTGCTAAAAGCACATTTATTGTCACACGGATGTGTGTAAATATAGGCTGAAGAATATCTTTGGTAATATGCATATGTAATAATATGTTAATGAGCCATGTGCCCAGCTTTGCTTATGCTGATGAGCCATATGGAGCTTTGCCTGGAAGCCTGGTGAGAGCTGTAATGTTTACAGATCAGGTAAAAAGTGAACAGGAAAAAAGATTATAACACTATTCTCTGTTACAGTGATGCTTAAAGGCTGGGTCATTGCTTAAAGAAACAGTGGAGATTTATGAAATCATGTTGATGAGACTGAAAGCAAGTCAAAAAGGTTAAAGAGTCAAAAAGGATAAGCACAGATGTTATTCTCTGGTTTTCTAAGGCTACATAGGATGAGACTGTTCATACACTTTCTTGAAATGCAACAAAACACCTCAATTAAAATTTCGTAAAGTTAAGGAAAAGAAGCTGTTTTCAATTTATTGCATTAAGTCTTTTTCTTTTTTCTCTATTAACTAGTATTAACTAGTGCAGCAGTCTCAAACTGCAGCTCCAGAGAGACATGCAGCTTCTTTTTCCATTTGTATAAATGTGCTGCCTATATAGTCCTTTTTATGTTTAAATAACCTGCATCATAGCTTACTTTGCTGAACCTTAGGATGGATACATACACATAAACGGTCCATGGACAAACCTATTTGCATTTACCACCAACACTGCTGGCTTACTGGTACTACTTAATCTGCAGCTGGACTTTAGACAAAATAAAATTGAACCTGATCTATTTTTTTTTTATATCTTCAAAGCTATTAGGCTTTGGATGTTACAGCTCTTCTCAAAGTAGGCTACTTTTAATTTAATCTGCACAGGAACACAGTGGCCTGCAAAGCTTCATAACTAATCTTTGCAAAGTAAATAAAAAAAGATATACTCTTCCTCTGCTTCACAACTGATCCTTTTTCTTTGTAATAAAAAACTGATTTAAAAAAGGAAACAATTTAAACAAACTTCATTCCAGAGTTTTGTAAAAGAAACATGATATTGTAACAAAAATGCAACTGCAGCCCACTAAAAAGCCATTACTTGTGTTAAAGGATTAATTATTTACACCCTATTAGTAATGGTGACAGGCTAATTCATATTTAATAGGCTGTGTTACCTTCATTGTAAGGCTCAAATACGTTTTGCAGCCCCACCACAAATTTGCAGATTAAAAATTGCTTGAAAATGTCTCTTTTGATAGTAAAGGATGTCAACTCTTCAATTACGGGATAGCATTTGGACCCAGACCCCATACTAGGTAATATTAGCCACCCTGCATATGTTATTCCTAACTTTTTTGTTCATTTACAGGCTGTATGGAGTTTTTGTCTACATGCTTCATTAAGGTACTTGGATGTATTTATTTTATTTTTCAAATGAGTTTATATTAAGTTTTTATTAATTTACTCAACGAGAGGTGGTGTGCGTGCAGTGTCGTCATCCAACGTGAAACAAACAATATCAGACAGAACATGTCAGCTCTAATGGTTGGTGTCAACCCAGCAGATGCAAAAGCATAACAGAAATAAACAATTTCCGCTTTCACATAAACTATTTCTTGAAAAACATTTTCTCTATAGAGCGATTCAGTGCTGTCAGAAGACAACTCGCAATTTAGTCAACTGTTGTCCTTTCAGCACCTGTGGTACTAGGATGCTGGTTCGGACAAACATAATGGGACCTGAAGTCGGATGACGAAATGGATACGTTCATCACACTGTGCTGCTGGTGTGAAATTCAAATAGCCCTTCTGCTCTTTTATAATAATCTTTCAAAATCGGCTAAAGCCAAAAGACTGGGACCACAGTGGTTTGCTCAAGGACACATCAACTAAGCAGATGCATGTGGCTGCAGGGGCTTAAGCCCAGGACTCCCAATCGCAAGCCAATTTCCCTAATCATTGCACCACCCCACTGCTCCTGATTTTGCCACCATGAGAATGTGTCATCAAAAATAATTACAAAACATTAAAGGCTAGAGCAACATGGAGAGAAAACACTGCAGGCAGCATCTTTCAGTGACGAGGATGACAAAGCCAATTTGGGAACCTTTTACCCAGTGGCACATACCTTAATCCCTCACCGACTGAAACAACTAACACATCGTGGTTGCATATGCTTAACTGGCTCTCCCGCGCTCCCACAAGTGAGACCAGAGCCTTGTTCGCTTTCCAAAACCCAGCAGCAACAAGCCAATCTGTTCTCAAACAGCTGGAGCTGCCCCCAAGAGTGAAAGAGGGAGAAAAAAGGGAGGGAAAGAGGGGGGGAGGGAGGTCTCAGAGAGAAAACAGGCAGAGAAAGTGTGAAAATGAGAAACAGAGCAAAAGACCGGGATGGGAGCATAGACGCAGAGAGTATGAGAGTTCGCTGTCATAAATAATCAATGCTTAGTCAACACAGAAAACGAGAGCACGTGAAGGAGCCAGGGCTTCCTCCTATTCCCTAATCCAAAAAGGGAAAACTGCCAGCTCACATATGTCACGAGTAAACAGAGCTGAGCTAAGTTGAAGAGGATATATGGAGACAGACAAGATGATAATCGGAGGAAAAGCGACAGAGAGAAATTAAAGTGAGGGAAGAGACTGCAGAGAGTTTTTGCAGAGAGAATTTGGAAAAGGTGAAAGTGAGAAAGAAAAAAGAAAGAAAGAAACACTTAGAAAGCAGGAAGCGGGCTGCAGGAAATTCCTTTGTCATCCTCCTGACCCTCTCTGCTTGTCAAAAAACTGGAATATGACAGTTCACGTCCTCTTTCTCTTCTCCCTCACTCCTTTTTCCTTTTCTCCGGCTGTGTCCACGTGAGCGTGCTGTGCAGCGATGACTAGATTTCAAGTCATCTGCCATTTGTTAAGCGCACTTGCTTGATGCTACAGACAACTATGTGACTCGGAAACGTGTTCATACCTCATGTCCTCAAGCAGGTCACATTCGGTCTGGTGTTTAAAGTGCAGTCTTGTCATCTGCTCTGTGTGAGTGTTTTTCAGCTCCTGTGTCACTTTGACCTGGATGAAACAAAAAGACATGTTATTAAATGTGTTATTTATTCATCCATCAGCTCCACAGGCATGTTACTGATCTCTATGAAGCCCAACTTTCAACAAATCATCAGTCCTCACATATCAATATATTAAAACAGTAACTACATATTAACCTAGATGTGATTTTGGCCAATGCAGAGGACATAAATGGCCGTCTTTCCCTGGTTGTAAAGGGGTTCATTGAATGACGAAAGCTTCTACCTGGCTGTAAGTTGTAAATGCACGTTAACAATAAATGATCCATATCAATCCATAATATTTCCATCTCATTGACCCTTTGTTAGATTAAATGCTGCATGAAATTGCCCAAAGTAACAGACTGAATACAGAAACATCTTTTAACATGAGCGCATTTCATTTTGTGTTTTTAGATAATCTGCTGATCTATTAAACTGTTTAAAGAAAGAAAGATTTGCTTTTAAAAATTTGTGATATTTTAACATAACTTGTTTCAATCAAAAAACTAAGAATTGTTTGGACAACTGGACAAATATGCCCTCACCAGCTACCTCATTGGGTAAACCTGGTCAGTTGCTTGTTACTGCAAATATCTAGTCGATCACATATAAGCAACTCAGTGCATTTAGACAAGCATACATGGTCAAGACGACCAGCTGAAGTTCAAACCAAGCAGCAGAATGGGGAAAAAAGATCCTTTTGGTGCTGGACGGGTTAGTCTAAGTGTTTCAGAAACTGCTGACCTGCTGGGATTTTCCCACACAACCCTCTCTATGGTTTACAGAGAACGGTCTGCCTTGTTGATGGCAGAGGTCAGAGGAGAATAACCAGACAGCTTCCAGCTGTACCTCAAATAACCACTCGTTAAAACCAAGGACTGCAGAAGAGCATCTGTGAACAAGCAACAACCTTGACCACAGCAGGTGCCACTCCTGTCAGCTATGAACAGAAAACTGGGGATAAATTTTGCACAGGCTCACCAAAGTTCGACAACAGAAGGTTGGAAAAACTGTTCCCTCACAAACAACATGAAAGCATAGATCCATCTTGCCTTGTATAAGGAGTTCAGGCTGGTGGTCTAATGGTGTGGAGGATATTTTCTTGGCACAGTTTTGGCCCCTTAGTACAAAATGAGAATTGTTTAAAGAAGCACGGAAAACCTGAGTATTGTTGCTGACCAAGTCCATCCCTTTACGACCAGTGTACCAATCGTCTAACAGCTGTTTCAAGCAGGCTAACACGCCATGTCACAAGCTCAAATCATCTCAATCTGCCTTCTTGAACATAACAATGAGTTCACTGTACTCAAATGCCGTCCATAGTCACCAGATTTCAATCCAATAGAGAACCTTTGGGATGTGGTGGATGTGCAGCTGACAAATCTGCAGCAACTGTGTGACACTGTCATGTCATGTGGACCAAAATCTCTGAGGAATGTTTCCAGCACCTTGTTGAATCTAAGTCATGAAGACTTCATTAGCCAAAAATAAATATGAGTGACACTGATTTCAAAATGATGTATACTGAAAAGCACTATATTCTCTAGCTGCCCATCAACTGTCCTACTCTAGAGTAACCTGAAAGTAGCACATACATATACTGTATACACTCCCACTCATGACCCATCAATGTAAAAGTCGGAGTCAGGGTTTTGTGAGACCTTCAGTGAAGCAGGTATGGGGATTTTTTGCAGTTAGAGGTTACTGAGAATACTCTTAACATCCCCCATAACTGCAGTGTTTAGTAAAGATGCTGTGTGCATCAAATTCAATTTAGTGGCCAGGCTCCTTCACACATCTTATGCTAAAACAGACATGCACACAGACACACAAATACACACATCTCCTGCCAACAGAGTCGCTGTGAAGGTCATTGTGCATTGTCGGGTGAATTCCATCGGCTATTCACCAGAGTAACAGTGGGCAAATTCACGACTGTTCTAGACAAAACAATCAACAACATGCCACACACACTACACTGGCACACACACCAACACACAAACACAGCACAGCTCCTTTCTTTCATGTGCTGTGCCTTTGAAGATAAGGAGGGAGTGGTTCATTACAATCAGGGCAAAATTTCTTCACTTGATTTCACCTTCTATCACTCAGTGGCAACCCCAGAGGATGGCGAGAGGAGGGGAATGGTGATAGAGAGATGGGGCGGGGGTTACAAAATGAAAAGGAAGATGTCAAATAAGGGCAAATGTGAAAATTATGAATAACAAAAATGGAAAGAGGAAGAGATATGGCGTAAACATCCCCGGCTGTGAGATAACAATATCAAGAGGAGTTTATTAACCTTCTCGGTGGTCTTCCTATTTCCTTCTGCCTTAAAATAAGGCAGAAGATAAAAGGGGAGGGTTGTGTCAGGAAGGGCATCCGGCATAGGATCTCCGCCAAATCAAACATACCTTCAAGCACATGTGAGGATGTCAGATTCACCCCAGTAATGAAGCATGTATACCAATACACATATACTCCCTCCCTGTCTGATATGTATCCAGTCTAAAGATGCAAAGATGCTTTCACTAATTAAACTTAAGATTCAATGCCATCCGTTGATGCAGTTAATGTCAATTTAAAGAGTTCAAGTTCACCCCAAAATCAAGCATCTGCAAAACACTTGTGTAGCCTGAAATTTCACAGGCTCAGCTAAATTTGCCCAGTTCTAACCAATTCTTTAAATCCACAAAACAGAGACACTTTCTCAGGGTCCACACCCACTCTCGAACCTATGGATTTAAAGCTAGATAGGCAGACACTGCATTGTCTTTGTCAGGCCTCTTTAATTTAAGCGACATAAGGTGAATAAAAGAGAGCTGAAATGACTCCATGTTTGTTAGCAGATGTGCTGAGACACAGACAGAACACTTAAGGGGCTGTATGTGCCGCACTGGGAGAGAAATTATTAGTATCCAACAGTCTAGCAGAGATGCTGTGGGCTGAGTGCACACTGAGGGTAGCGGCGCTATTGCCAGTGGGTAACTTACCAGTATTTTTTATTTATGTATTTGTAAATTATGCTTTTATTCTGGAAAAATTTTTAACAGGAGGTTCAGGAAAGCAGTGTGTACAGCCTCAGTCAGGAGAAGACCTGCACAAGTGTGTGGTTTAAAGGCATGATATGGCATGTCCGAGGCCACAGTATGTGTATGTGTGTGTGTGTGTGTGTGTGTGTGTGTGTGTGTGTGTG